TGTTAGCTTCTGCTGTTAAAGTCAACAGGATGATAGCCTGTTAGCTTCTGCTGTTAAAGTCAACAGGATGATAGCTGTTCCCACTGTTGTTGTGGTGAAAATATTCTTATTAAAGGCTGATTCCACTTAAATCTGTCCCTTTAGTCACCTAAACAAGAACCTTTTCACGATGGATGTGATGAAGCCACGTTGGCTGGTGTTTAAATGACGAGCAGCTGTTCTTTATGTCGCTTGCTGCACTTGGGTTTTCTGGTGTGAACAGAGTATTACAGCTTCAAAGCTGGACTACTAGTCTGTAATTTAGATCTTATTAAAGTCTCAGCTGTGAATGTGTATTAAACCTGATGACTTCAGATGTTCTTGTATCTCTTCCTTTAGCTGCAGGAGCCAATTATAGCTGCTACACAACTTATACAATGAGATCATGTGTCCTCATAAGTTTTTACAGCTTACAACAATAGTGAGGGCAGGTCTGTGCAATATTTCTTAAATGTCAAATTATTCTAAACTGTATTACGTCACAGTTAAGGTCTCAAAATACACAAAGAATGCAACCTTGCCAACAAACAGCAGCTGAATAAAACAGTGTGAAGAATGTGAGAACATGTGAGCAGAACCTGGAGGTGCCGAGCCCTGAGGAAAACATTTTAAACACCAGAAGACAATAAGTTTTGACATTACTGGTTCAGATGTCGGTGAAGCATCGTGTTGCGCATTCGATCGAGCCACCATAAGATGATGATAACTCTCTCATTCAAAAGACATGATGGGGCGGAGCCTCTATGAGAGGCGTGGCCTATGTGTGAGGGGTGGGACAGCTCTGTCACACAGGTGCAGCACACACAGGTGATGATGGAGTTCTAAAATGTGATTAAACTTTTCTGCCTGTGATTCAGAAAAGAGCTGTTTCCACAACAGTAACAAGTGGTTTGTTTTTGAGAACAGAAACACAATCAAACTGTGGAAACATTCAGCTGAACTTCATGACAGACAGGTGGAGGAATGTTTGACAGCTGGGTTCGTGGTTTATCCCTCGATAACCGGGGGCCCCATGTACAAAGACTTGCGTGGATTTCATACCGAAACCTGGCGTACGCTTCAATCCTGAAAACTGCGAACGCACAAACAAATCCAGATGAACCACAGTGAGCGTACGCCTGAATCCAGCACATTTCCTTTGTACATCTCACTCAGCGTGGAACTGACATGTTGGAGAACCAGACTCCTCCCTCTCCACGCCCCCAATTTAAATATGCAAATTAGTATAAACAGGGCCGACAGGTGGGATTCCCTCTCTGAGGATCAGATACCAGTAACCAGGATGAACTCACCCCGTTAGAACAGATTGTGGGTGATGCTGCTGTCACAGGGGTGGTGGGAGCACACGTAGGTCACTCAGATCACCCCAAGGTCAGTATATATATATATAGTTGTATGTATATATATATAGTCACACCATATATATATATGGTGTAACTCACACATTTATTCACTACACAGGTCATACAATCATCTGCTCGCAGCCAAACACCATACAGGTTCATGTGTAATCATGCCAGGATGTCAAAGAGGAAATCAAAACTTTGTCTCATGTCAGATTACTCAGTTTGTTATTTTCCAACAGCCAATGAGGCAGGAGGAGACTGAGACCCAGTCCCAGCCTCGTACCACAGACCCGCGGGATTCCTCCAGCCTCCCCGGCGTCAGCTGATCCTCCGGTCCGCC